AAGTTTTCATCTGTTTGCAGATTATTCAGCTACGAGGAACTCGAGCAAGCAACGTCCAACTTTCTGCATGGTTGTTTCCTAAAATTTGTCATGCATATAATTTATCGTCAATTCATGAACATTTCTAATGTTAGTCGAATTTGCAATGCAGAGAATTTGATTGGAAAGGGCGGGAGTAGCAGTGTTTATAAGGGCTGCCTTTCCGATGGCAAGGAATTGGCTGTGAAAATATTGAAGCCATCTGAAGATGCAGTGAAAGACTTTGTTTCAGAGATTGAGATTATCACCACCTTGCATCACAAAAACATTATTGCATTGCTTGGATTTTGCTTCCAGAATAATAGTCTAATGTTGGTCTATGACTATCTATCACGAGGTAGCTTAGAAGAAATCCTCCATGGTATGCATTTGACACCCATTAATTGCTTATTTTCGTCCTTGATTTGCTTCACTTTCTCTAAATCACATATCTTATTCCTTTTTCCGTTTTCTTTTTGTTAGGTGAGGAAGTGAACAAGCATGTTCTCGGTTGGGCTGAAAGATATAAGGTGGCAATAGGTGTTGCGGAGGCACTTGATTATTTACATGGGGGTGGTACTACTGAGCCCGTGATTCACAGGGATGTGAAGTCCTCAAACATCCTTCTCTCCGACGATTTTGAGCCACAGGTGTTGTATTTTTTCACAATGCATTTCTTATATAGTATTTAGTATTTTGTGTATGCACATGACATTTTTCATCTTTTGCGAGTTTCAGTTGTCTGACTTTGGATTGGCGAAATGGGCATCAGCATCATCTCAACTGATTTGCAGCGATGTTGCAGGGACTTTCGGGTTGGTGTTCTTTCTGTAGAAAGAAGACAAATTTATTTTCTGAATGTTAGATCATAACATTTTTCTAAGATAGAACACCCGATGACAGGTACTTAGCTCCCGAATACATTTTGTATGGGAAAGTTAATGAGAAGGTTGATGTCTATGCCTTCGGCGTTGTGCTTCTCGAGCTCCTCTCAGGAAGGAAGCCCATCAGTTCTGGTTGTCCCAAGGGCCAAGAGAGCCTCCTCATGTGGGTAAGTTCTCCATCGGTTTTGCTTTCCTAAATAAATGAATGAGGTTTAAAAATTTTGAATGTGCATTTACATTGTAGGATTGCTTGATCTTTTGTGTCACTAGTCCAACACCCTTTTTCTTATTCTTATACCCCATGTAATTGCAGGCTAAGCCAATCTTACAAGATGGAGACACAAAGCAGCTGATTGATCCAGGCTTAAAGAATGAATTTAGTAGTGATCAAGTAGAAAGGATGATCCTAGCTGCTTCACTTTGTGCAAGGAGGCTTCATCATGCACGACCTCATATAGCCCTTGTAAGATCTTATTTTCTGCTCAATATACAAATCTTCTTGATAAGTTCTATCATACCGTCTCAAGTAGCACAAAACTGGGGGCTTCGAGAGGTACTGCAACTAGTCATCTTCATAAACCTACATGGAGAAAGAGTAGAGGGTTTTAGTCATGGCCTTGAAGCCAATTCCGAATAGGATATTGAAGCTCCTTAACATTCCGACTGCCTTTGCCTTTTTACCTTTTGTCGTGAACCATCTTCAACCACAGGTTTTGAAGCTACTCCAAGGAGACGATGATACTGTTGAATGGGCACGGTCAGAAGTTAACGCTCGGGCTGACATGTTAGATGATGAAATGCCAAACCAAGAATCGGACATCCAATCCCATCTCAATCTTGCATTACTGGATGTGAAGGACGACTTGAACTCGATCAGCAGCACCGATCACACATCCGATTCTCTAACCTCGAGCGCCTCTGCGGAGAACTACTTGCAGTGGAGATGTAGCCATTCATCAAGCTTCGACTAATTGGTTCTGAGTGCATCGCCGACGTACTCTGTATAGGGTTTTATTTCTCTAATCTCCTTGGGTTTTATGTGATTACAAAATCATACAGAAAAATACTTGTTGGTGCCTCATTGCATCTTCCATTCCAAGTCCCTCGAGAGTCATCTTCTTTTCTTTCAAGAAATGTCGACAACCTCTCCATTGTTCTCGAACAGAGATGGAGGAACTAATAACAGAGTTTGATTGTTTTATGTAGTATCTAACAAGGATGTGAACACCACTTTCTAAGATCTTGTGTTTAGTTGGCATGTCTATCAGCACTGAACTTGCCACAACTCTTAGTGATGAAGCACAATTGAAATGCTATAACTGGAATGAGACAGAGAGATCTTTGCATCAAGACCAGACAAAAGAGACTACATGAATTAGATTGATGCTCGACTGTTGTTAGTTTGTGATATTCTGGCACTGATCAAAGCCTGCCAGCTGGTCGATCGTCACGAAGTAGCTGATGTGGTGGATGAAGGACAAGTTATCACCTTGTCTGGCAGCAGGGGTGACAGTCTGTCGGCTACGGGTCGACCCTGGCAGCCGCAGGGGGCAGTGGTCCCCGGGCAGCTGAACAGATCGGCGCCCCCGTCCTATCGGCCTCTACGGACGACAACCTATAGGTAGTCGCTCGAGTCGACCTTATTGGTCACCAGGGCTGACAAGCTGCCCCTCCCCTTTTGTTAGTCTCTGTGGACAATAGGCCATGAGGGATCGTACGAACTAGCCATCCACATAAATGAACAACAAAGGAAAGAACGTTTGGACAATCATGGGTGAACCCCCTTGATTGCCCAAGCATAAAAACCTGTCCCTAACGCTTTGTCACGAACGGTCGTCGTGCACCCGCATCAACTCCGTTTAACGAATCGTTTGTCGCTCTCGTCTACATGTACAGTTACTTGGCAGCCTGTTTTGCCTTGGTTTTGAGTCATTTTGCTTGTAAAAATGTAAGTTCGAACAAACTGCAGCGTTACAAAGCGACCGCTCACCGAACAGAGCAAAACAACCCCAAAACAGCTCCGTTTTCGTGTGCCACGGGCTGATTTCTGGAATCTGCCTCCACTCACCAAAACGTCAGCCATCCCAGCCCCTTTGAACCCCCCGGGTGGCACAGGGCTAGATGGGGCTTCGGTATAGTACCGGGCGTTGAACACTCATTCGCAAGTTCGCACGTTGCCTTGACAGGAACTTGTTGTCGCGCTCGGGACTCGGTGAGCAGTTGTTTGTGGGCTTGCAGCTGTTCGTTCAACCTTCTAAAGCCCTTGTTTTCCCCCTCTCCCTCTTTTCTCTTGTGCACGCAAGGTGCTCGCTGAATTGCTTGTAAAGCTTCCCCTCTTTTTGCGAGACGTCGGAACTTGTCCGTCGCTCGTTCTTTCGAACTAATCAACTTTCTCTTTTACAGGTCCTTCGGGACCTACGAGAGGTTACAAGTTGGTTGATCTTTGCGGAGCAATATCGCAAGGGCGAAGCGCGACTTAGGTAACGCAAGCTAAGTTTGCGTCTTGGCCGCAAGGGTACCTCACTCCTTAGGCAATTTCAGCTAAGACCGTGACAGCCTGCTCAGAGGTAGGACCCTCTCACTCTGAAACCTCTCATTCCCTTACTTTACGAAGAGCTAATTTAATCGTCGAAAGGGTCAAATTAAGAAATCCTCTTTTTGACATTGACTTTTGTGCAAGATCCCCGAGGAGACCGGAGCCCATATCGGATGCATAAAGATCACTTCAGATCCACTTCGGCCACCTTATTCCCCATAGCGATCGTATCGCTCACCCATCACGAGGGTTATCGAACGACTTCACACCTTCGGGTCAAGATCGAGCTGTGCCAACTTCTAATCGAGGGCGTCGAGACAGCAACAGTTTGGCACTCCATCAGTCTCTTGAATGGCCATCGGTGCCGATAACTCTTCCCCAACTGCAGAGAAAGCTCAGTCCAAAGCCATCAGCTTCACACTCTCTCTCAAAGGCAAACCACACGGCCACGAGATACTCGGCGCTTGCCTGTTCGGCCCACTGTAACCTACCCCACCACATGAAGCAGAAAACAAAAGAAAACGAGATCCCGAGATGAATAACGTCAAACAGATGGTGCGCAAGTTTGCATCTCTCGCGTCACCATCAAAGAGCAGTCAGTTGTTGGGAAACGTACATACACTGTATTGTGGTGTCTTTTAATCACGTCACAACAGCTGAGTTTTCTCTATCACTCCATGGTTTAGTGAGACTACCGAGTCGTAGACGTGTAAGAAAAGCTTTTCCTCTCTCTTTTGGAATATGCTACCGTAGTTTCCCCACTTCTTCGGCGAGGCCTCTTCATGGGCCGGAAAGGCATGTAATTGAATCGGCAGGCAATAAATATCTCCACCTGAAGAAGAAGACGAAACAGCATCAAGTTATTTGTGTACAGTAGTCAATGCAATAACTTGGTTTAAATGGATGCCATTTCGGAGCCATTTCGGGAACGGGGAAGATGAAGTAACCGCAGTTCATGGTGGTACCATGTCGAGCTTATCCAAATAGTCGAGCCCCATATGTCGGAGACGGCAGCAATATTTGCTGGCTACTGTTGAACGAAAAGGAAGTGATCAACAGCCCATTAGTTTCTTGGACTTCGAGGTTTCTTCCTCCTCTCTCTCACCTCCCTCACCATGTTCCAGCTGACAAGAATCTCCCTTTTTTTCGGCAGTTGAACAGTTGATATGTTCGATTTCATGTTACCTCAGTTTCATCATCATTGTTGACCTGTGCATCCGATTCCGGTGTGCCAATTCTTCTCTGTTAGCTGGAAATGGACCGTAGTGGGGAGCTGAAAAGATGGGCGGATTGAGATAGACGATGCAAATGGCACTGGTGTGGACGCACACTTGGAATCTGGCCTGCAAACCATCTCCAGCAAGTGTGAAGGAGGAGCGCCGTGTCATTGATATGACTCGCCACTGCATCGAGAAAGCAGAGCATAAAGATCATTTAGATTTTGCAGTTAACTGCCATTCCACGCCGCTCAGTGACTAATAGCTCTTTTATTCTTCGGTCTCTTTACCGCTGCAGTGTCCGTCACTGTCTGACGCTTGAAGTTTTACTTTGTGAGTCGTCCCCCCACCCCAACGCCACTCCTCTGCTGGACATCAGAGGATAACCTCAGAGATTAGTCCGCAAGCGTCCGCCCGAAATGTTCACACCCATGGATTCATTATTAGGCACTGCTTGATGTAGAGCGCTCCTCTTGTGAGCGTCTGCTTTGATTTGTTATCTAGACAAGCGAAGAAAGGTGCCGTCTTGGGCTCTTCCTTGGCTTCGATCGACAAGAGAGGAGAGGAGTCACCTTCGCGTGCTTCTTCTCTGGTTTTTTATCGGGACGAGCGGAGAAAGGTGCTGTCTTTATGGCTCCACGGTGAGATAAGGGAAGAAAAGTGCCACCTTGGGCTCTTCCGTGGCCTCTGTTGCAGTTTCCGATAGAGAAGAGAGAAGAAAGGAGTCAGCTTTGGTGTCTCGGGAGCTATGTCCGGCGAGGCGGAGAATTGTGGCTCCGTTCTTTTCCTGGGGCTGCCGGACGACGTACTGGCGCTCATCTCCGCCCGCCTCCGCCCCCGCGACCTCTGCGCGCTCGGCCTATGCTGCCGTGGCCTCCACGTCGCCGTCGCGGCCTCCGAGAAGGCCTGGCTCGTGCAGTGCCTTCGCCTCGGCCCCCCGCCCCACCTCCTTCCCCGGTGGCGCAGGGGCGTCCGCTCCTACGGCGCCCTCTGCCGCTTCCTCGCAGCCGTTGCGCCGCTCCTCGGCATATGGGTGCACCAGAATCCGGAGCTCGGCAACGTCGTCTGCGTCGTGTGGGGCTTCCTCTCCGTCGTCGGCGTCCGCGTCATCCCCCAGGAGCTCGGGTATCTGGGCCTAGACGCCGGGCCTCTCCTCTGGGCGCCGGTTTTCGAGATCCTCGCCGACGCCAATGGCTCGCCCTCTCGCTTCTTCCTCCATGGCCGAGACTGCGGCGAGGACTGCCTCCACCCGGGCTCCGTTCGATCCATCGACTCCTCTTGCAACGTCCTCTTCCTGGAGGCCGATTCCCGTCCCCAAGATTCCGCCTTTCCTCCAAGACCGCTCCATTTGCCCCCCGCCCGGAGCTTCTCTTCCGTTTCTGGATCGAAGGATCCAGATTTGGCAAGAAAATATTCCCGGTCCCGCACCACTGTCGCCTCCCGTTCCTCGGTCGCGCCGCCTCCGCCTTCTTCTTCCCCATCCTTCAGCCGATTGCCGTTCAGCGACCGCCGCCGGCTTCTAGAACTGGTGGCGGCCAGAATCCGCCTCAAGGTTCCCCGGGATCTGGCCGCTGCTCCTCTCTTTGAACGTTCTTCCTTCTGCGATGATGCCAATCTCTTGGCTAATCGAAGGTTGGAGCTCATCGAAATGCTCAAACTTAGCGGAGGGTGGATCGATCGGATGGCGGCAGAGTTAGCATTGAGCTTGACGGAGCATCGGAACGCTGCAAGCAGCAACGCCGTCGACCACCGGACGAGAACTGCCACTGACAAAAGAAGAGCCTTCTCCTCCGTGGCCGGGTACTTGAAACAATTCATGGGCAGGTCTACCTCTCCTAACGTTCCGATTTCAAGAAACGGGAATCCTGTGGGCGGCGGCAAGAACAAGCACGCGCAGCTCCACGAGTTCTTGAGGTCAGGCGACGTGATCGGGCTGAGCTTAAGAGCAACCCACATGAGGGTAACCACGTACAGGGCGTGGCCAAACATGCACGACAGCAGGTTTGCGCTGTACAAGCTCCCATTGCAGGCCCCAATGGCGTGCCAGGAGCACGCAGGCCTGTGGGGCGGCACCTTTGGCTGGCCACCGGGACAGCCCTCCGAGGGCAAATCAGGGAAGGCCTTGTTCTTCTTGTTGCTTTCTTATGAGGAGGTCAACGGCCACCCCCTTCTCATTGCCACCAAGATACTGGAAGGAACCCACTATGTCCTCCATCCCAATGGCTCCGCAATGTTCATTGTGAAAATGGATGAGACCACATCAGAGCCATTCCCATGGGAGACCGACGGCGAATCTCTTCAGGTGGAAGTGAAATCTAGTCACTCAGGGGAGGGGATCGCGAATGGTTACGGTTTCCGATACCCAGGATCCAAGCCTGGCTCACTGTTTGTGCTACAGAATGGACTGTTGGCATTTGTGTGGAAGGAGTCCCAGTCCATCTTGACCTTGCAGAGGGTGGACTTGCAGGAGCTGCTAAAGAAAGGAGAAAGAGTGCCGGTGCTGCCACCAATCGCAAACTTTGTCTATCTTACAAAGTCTTACTCTAACGTTTTCACAGGCTTCCCTATCAACTCAGGTCATTCATCCTCTCCAAACTATGATTAGTCCTGTTTATTGTGCCTATCCCTGTATTTGATTGAGATTACGAGATGATCGGCCGCTACCAAAGTTTTTATGATCTCGAGTTTCCTATGAATCTGTTTGCAGCTATATTCACTTAATTTTGAGTGTATTAGCTTATTGCACTCTAAACAATAGTGTAGTTTATTATCCTATTCGACCATGTTTTCATTGGTCTCTAAGCCACTCCATGATTCTGAACCGTAGAAAGCTTTACTAGGTTTTCAATATGCTACTTGATGTCCTGCCTGATTCATGTGGTCTTTTGATTTATAGCATTTTGTTCGGCCATGTGGCTACAGAAAAAAAAAAAAAAAACATGCTACTGGACGACTGGACTTTTTTTGGAGAAGAAAGCGCCGGAGATAGCTGTTCGATAAATTTTTCATGAAATCTTTGTGTGATAAACCATGTAAAATCCAAAAGCTTATATGAGATATCATCCTGTGTTACACAAGTGAAATCCTTGAAAGCGAAAGACTTGTGAGTATTCTCAAGAATTAATCAGTATATGGATGATGGACATTGTTTTCAGAATTATGAGGCCTGAAAGAGTCAAAGTGGCATGTGGCGGAAATAGCTTGGTATGCTTGTGACAGAACGACAAGTCATGGACACTTTGGAAGATGTGGGAATTAAATAGGCAGAAGTTGAGAACGACGGCAAACAAAATGAGGCATAAGAAGAGGCCTAAATGGAAATCTGTAAATTTCCTTGTGAAAAGCAAGTCTACTTAACAATTTCAGCATAGGATGTTGTCATCGGTATATATAGATGATACAGCTGATACCTGTTTTAGAATTATGATGATGCTTGAAAGAGTCAAACTACCATGTTGTGAGATTAGCTTGTTATCCTTGTGGAAGGATAGTCTGATGAAATTCTAAAAATGCAGTATCGTTGAGAAAATGACAAAGAAAGTAGTATTGTTTGAAACCTAAGAAGCAGCCTCACAGCTTGAAGTGTCTGCACTCTTTATTGATCTGTTTGTAAAAGTTACACTTCACAATTCTATACTTCTTTGAGATGACTTAGTGCGAGCATCTGGTGACGCCGGGAGAATCTCATGGTACAACAAGTGGGGAAGCTGGTAATATTTGCACATGAATAATATTTCATGCACATGAGAAGCAACAAGTAGAAGGAGAAACATATTATGAGAAGAATTCTGTACTCTGAAAGAGAATTTCCAACGTGAACTCCAATAACTAATCCAGCAAGACCTACAGGTTTGGACAATAGAAGATGTAAGAGCTTTGGATCGAAACTTCGGAGTTATGAGGGTCAATTAATAGCAAGTATGATCAGGTAGAAATATCGTACTAGGAGTCCAGAAATTAGATTGAAACTTCTTGTAAAGAGTTATAACTGTGAGAAGTAACATAGCTTGTTTTTCTGTTGTGGGTTTAGGTGAATATTCGTATTGATGTTATTGTCCTAATTGTCATGGAACTGACATGCATAAGCATCTATGGCTGCAGCTGCGGAGTCAAGGGTTGGATGTGTTTGGGAGAATAACAGAGCCAAGGATGCATAGAGCACGAAGACCATATAAAGAACTTAGTCTGACAGAAACTATCTATAAGTTGGATGCAGGAAGCTTAAATAAAAGAAGCTTGAATGTTTTGGGAAGTATCAACTTTCACATACATGAGATCCAGTTTCGGTAGCAACCAACATCTCTCAGAGCTAGTTTAGCCAGAATGTGTTATATTGCGCTGCTATGCTTAGCGTTGTTACTAAATACCATGTTTGGAGTTACAGAATGTAGTGTTATTACAAACCTTTTTGGTCGGCTGCTCGAAACTTCACAGCTTATGCCAATGTTGCCTGAGCTACAACAAGGTTTAAGCGTGCAGGACGAGAATAAAATCAGATCATCTTTCATGCTAGAAATGAAGTCCGACATTGTCCACCATTTTGTTGCTGGTGTTGATTTCATAACCTTGTAATTGTTTTTGAGAGGCACCGTACATAGCATAGATATGCATGGACAAGATGACAAGGTAACGTATACAAGTAGCCTTCTTTGATCAGTGCTAAATATTCTGTTCAACTGGAAAAACTCTTTCAGTCATGTGACATTATGTTGGTAGCACTTTTATTTCAGTCTGTTCTCCTACATGATTTCGCAGTTCATGAGTCATTTAGTGTTCTTCCTGTGGCAGCACATTTCGGTATGTCGTTGATACAGTACCGAGTAGAACACATGAGAAGTCAGGAAAAGGCTAACTGCTATAATCTTGTTCAGGTTTCTGCTGTGAAGCAAGGAATGACAATGATTCTGCTTCTGGATACAGATTCTGTTCCGTAAATTATTTGATAAAACCTTGATTTCTCGGAAAATGATTTGGTTTTTGCCAGTGATCCTGCACTGATCCACCATATTGCAGTAAGTGTTCAGTGTAGCTGTAGGTGGCTCCCTTCTCCGGAATCAATGTGGAGGATGAAACTGCAACAAGTGTTCAGTATCATTCTAGCAGAGCTTTTTGTTGGCACTGCTGCTTCTATGGATGTCCAGTTTTCACTGGCCAGCTATGGTTAAAGAAAGCAACTTCTTCAGCTCCAGATGAAGGGAGCATGACTTGTGATCACCAGTGAAGTGTTTTCTGGAAATGCTAAGGAATGGATCATCTTACATTCATCTCCTGCAAATGTGTTTTCATGTCTTGGGATCAATATATATTTATGGTTTTGGATTGAACAGAAATCTTTTAGTAATACCGTAATAGTTATCTTTTACATCTCGGTCTCTATCCTTTCAAAAATTATATTGGGATCTTAATATAATTTTAATTTTTTTTTAATTTTTAATTTTATAAAATTATTTTTTAATTAATTTTTAATATTTTATTTTTATAAATATATAATTTATTAAAAATATATGAATTGAGATGTTAAATATAATTAATTATAGAAGATAATATGTAATTAATAATCTTATTCATTCTTATTGTTCTCATGGAGAGGATAACATATGATACCACAATTTCATTGTATATTAAGATATGTATATTAAGCTATGATATTAATCCTCAAAAGTCTTTTGCTAATATCGGATTTTAAGATAATTAATAAGGAGGAACGGATTGGAACTTTGAATTTGCAGCGAGCGGCAAACCGATGTCTCGACGCCGTCGATACCCCATAAAACTACTTATATGCGCTCCCCTCGTCGATCTTTAAACGCCAACGTCTCCTCCTCGGAGGCCAAGAAATCGATTGCAGCGCGAAGGGGAGAACAGAAACCCCTCTTCTTGTTCTAATGGCGGAGGAGAGGAAACCCCTTAGCCTCAACGAGCGCAACGCGCGCCTCGTCCACGACCTCTCGCGCTCTCGCCCTCGCTCAGGTAACGATTTCTCGCAATCCCACGTCTTCCGATGGCATCTTCCGCGGATGGTCATTTCTTTTGGGGATCTTGATCAGAAATTAGGGTTCGTAAGATCAAGATCGAAGGCCGGCGGCGGCTTTGCAAGATCTCCTCCTCTGTAGACGCCGAGAGCCCGGATGGGAAATGGTTGGATTCGCCTCCCGGGGAGAACGATGACGGCGAGAGTATTCGCGATATCCTTGATGATCTCACTTCCCGGCTGGATTGCCTCTCCGTGGAGAAGCCGAAGCCGAGGTCGAAGCCGATGGTCCGCGAGCCGGAGCCGGAGCCGTCCGTGGAGTATGAGAGCGCCACCTCCTCGTTGTCGCCTTCATCGGTTCATTCCAGCCCCGGTGTCGAGAAAGAGGTTATCGAGAAGGGAAAAGAGGTTAAAGATAAAGCGGCGAGAGTTTTTTCTTTGGATGATGATGTGGAAGGGAGAGAGGAAGAGGAGGACGACTGTGTGGTTTTAGGAAGCGGTGGAAAGAAGCAGGCGCCGAAGGGGGAAGAGAACGAGGGTGAATCGGGTGACTTTTGGAGTGATGACGATGTGGAGGATTCGGGTCGTGATGGTAAAGATGGGGATGACTTCACTATGGTTGGCAGTGGCACCGGTAAGTCGAGGACGTACAGGCTTCCCGAGAGGATTTTCAAGATGTTATACCCGCATCAACGGGACGGTTTGAAATGGCTGTGGACGCTTCACTGTGGTGACACAGGTGGGATTCTTGGGGATGACATGGGGCTTGGCAAGACTATGCAGGTGAAATGTTGGATCTTCATTTTCTTGGTTCTACTTCTATGAGCTTCTTGAGAAAGGTTTACATTTCCTTGTTTTCCACACTTGTTCAATTTGTCATGCTACCTTTGTCTTATAATTGTTGAGACTTTACGGCTTTGTTGTTGTACTTCTGTCTTATGATTTGTGCCTTTGCAGGTGATGTGTGCTCAATGTCATACTTGGCCTTCATAGGATCATACCTTATTGCTTGACTTGTTCTTAGCTGCTAGTCGTCTAGGTCTTGCAATCAGCTTGCTTATTGCTGGAGTTGCCATGAGTAGGAGATTGACATTTTCTTGAAATGAGCAACTATCGTTTGTGAGTTAATTTAAATAATTGATTCTTTAAGAAATCACACAGTTCAGATGTCTTTTGTTAATTATTTTCTCATTGCTATGTCCGAAACAGGACATGATTGACGTCCTTATGATTAGACCTAAGGATGACCACTATCTGTGTTAAACTGTGGGCATGCGTTCTATTTTCAAAAGATTTTCTGGCTTAAATGCAGTGTCAGGCAGTGCATTGACCCACTTCGGACCTCGGGTTGGCAAGATCCTCAAGCGCTTGGCGTCCCTTCTGCATTTAAATTATTTGCTGTAGTTTTATGCATATATTAGGATCAAACATTCTTTTTATGCTATTTAAGGGGATTTAAATAGCTTTCTGGACCATAGGCATATGACAATCGTTATGGAGCATTTCAGGTTCTCCGGAATAGGTATAGCTATGCTGGTCAGCTGTGTGGAGTTTAGTCCACGTTCTTTTCCATGTTGAAGCATTCTTTTGGTGCTACCTTTTTATCTTCGTATACTTTTTTAAATTTATATTCATCATTTCCCTATTCTTTGATATTGAAATCATTAACTGCATCTTTTTTCTGCTATATGATTGTTCAAGTTGGGGCTATATGTGTATAGACACATAATTAAAGGTCTTCAAAGTAGACCGAACTTTGAACGATAAAAGTTTGACTTAGATGTGCAAATGTGATATATTATGCATTTTTATTTAAAATGCATTATAAAGCCTTGTGAAATGCTCAGGTTATGATTTGAAACATTGTTCAGGTTTCTGCTTTCTTGGCTGGACTATTTCACTCTCGCTTAATAAAGAGGGCATTGATCGTTGCTCCAAAGACACTTCTTGCTCATTGGATGAAGGAACTATCTGTTGTTGGTCTTAGCGAGAAGATTAGGGAGTGAGAAACTGTATATATGGTTTCTTTTAACATTTAGTTTTACACATATTGTTAATACTCAGTACATTCTTTTCCCCTTGTTTGTTTAAATTTCTTCTAATGTAGCTACTCTGGAACTAATGCAACAAGCCGCCGCTACGAACTTGAACATGTGCTTAAGGTATTGATATAAATTATAATTTTCTTCTAAATTTGCATTGAAATTCTTATCTTTATTCTTTATTTGGAATATTTGCTCGAATGATCATCCTTGCTTATCTATAGATGTCATATTCATGATCTACAAATATAGGAATGTATTCTAGGTCCTGCAGAAATCTCTTTAGGCCTATCATAGACCCTTTGTTAAAATTTGATGACTCTTCTGCGTTTTGCAGGAAGGTGGTGTACTTCTCACGACATATGACATCGTACGAAATAACTCAAAAGCTATAAGAGGTGATTGGTTTATTGATGGAGATGAAAGCGAGGAAGACAACTTGTGGGATTACACTGTGCTTGATGAGGGACATATCATAAAGAATCCTAAGACACAAAGATCGAAGAGCATATCTGACATACAAAGTTCTCATCGCATCATAATTAGTGGAACCCCAATTCAGAACAATCTAAAGGTAATACTTATTTGGTTTACTCCTTATGCTTGTCTGTTTTCAAAGTTCTTTTTTAATATCTTGAGTTACGGGCTTCCTGATAGCTGAATTTTGCTTTTTGATAGGAACTATGGGCATTATTCAATTTTTGCTGCCCAGATATCTTGGGTGACAAGGATACGTAATGAACTATACTTACTGCTTAATGACTTTTCTTTTTTCTTTGTAGCATTGATAAAATCTGACTGCTGTTTGTTTTCTTTAGGTTCAAAATAAGATATGAAAACCCTATCCTTCGTGGAAATGACAAAAACGCTTCTGACAGGGAAAAACATATTGGTTCCACTGTAGCTAAGGTAGGATTTTCCACGTTGGGAATGGGATCTCCATCTTATCTTTAGTAATCTATTTCATTCTCGGAGAATCATTTCCAGAGAATACTCAACCTGTAACTTTCAGACACCCGAGTCAAAAACATTTTCTGTTCTGGTTTAGATGATCTTACACAAATTGTGTTTTAAAATTAAGCTCTATCATACTGATATTGCTTTTGTATAAACACATAAACACCTGAAATATTTTCATTGTGAACATGAGCCTCATTATGACTTTTATTACATGCTGTTTTGTTTAGGATTCTGTGACTACGATATATATGATTTTTCTCATGTATAGGAGCTAAGAGAGCGAATAAAGCCTTACTTTCTCCGTCGCTTGAAGAGTGAAGTATTTTGTGAAGATGATGGAGCTAACAGTGTAAAGCTCTCCAAGAAAAGTGAGATAATTGTTTGGTTAAAACTAACAGCTTGTCAGGTACTTCTATTATTTTCTTCATCTCTTTGTTTTTAGTTCTTTTTTTCCCTAACTTTACCTAGCCCCCCCCCACAACCCCAAAAAAATGTTCTTGTGGATGCAGAGGCAACTTTATGAAGCTTTTTTGAATAGTGAGCTGGTTCATGCGTCAATGGAGGGTTCACCCTTAGCTGCTTTGACAGTAACTATCACCACTTTTGTGTCTCATCTAAGCTAATGTTTTGCTAGAAAACTTATTTTCTGCTGTTCAATTAAATTAATGTTCTCGAGCTTCTTTTTCTTTTACATGTATGTTCTGCACAATTTTTGACCTATCCTTTTTCCCTTTATCGTTACAAAATTTTTATTGAAAGAATCATCCTTCAGAAAATTTTGGGTGTTCAGTTATCTTCTCCATATGGGTTTTTTTCTTTTACAGTTCTTCTGGTGTTGTTTACCTGAACCCATGGAAGAATGACTATGAATTGTATTAAAAACAACTTCTTTATTTGATATTTTCTAAAAAGCAAAAAGCAAACATTCAATATCTTAAATGTCAATGGAACTAAATACTAATTAGCACTTGTTCGTAATATGCATTGATATCTGTAGACTATAGTTTATTTGAAGCTTTGGTGCCTGGCTTCCATTCAATTTCTTTTAACCTTGTTCTCGCTAGATATGGAGTATGTAGTGTATTACTGTATCTTCATGCAGGAACCACCTCGATATGGAGTATATGTCCACCTCCAAAGTGGAAATCTTGTGGGTTGAACATAAGGAAACAAAGCAACTTGTAAAGAGTGTGCAAGAGTAGATGCTAGGTCTTAACAGAGTGAAATTGAATTAATTCAAACTTGCTGATTGGTCCTTTGCCATTGCCAGTTTGCCACTAAGATGAGAGTTCTCATAACCTAATAATAAATTCTCTCAGCCACTTTTCTGTAGAAAATGATCTCTTGTGGTTTGCCTTTTCCCATTACTTTATATGCTACATGTTTGGATTTTCTTTCTTGTATTTAAAATAGTAAATGCATAGAAGTGATGCTAGGTGAATACTTGGGACTTTTTTTTATTCTTTGATATTTGTTTTATTGCTGCAATATATATTTTAAAATCTGACCAAGTATTGTTGTCTTTGGAAATAGATATTGAAGAAAATATGTGATCATCCATTGCTTTTGACCAAGAAAGGTGCTGAAGGTGTACTTGAAGGGATGGATTCAATGTTAAACCGTGAAGAAGTCAGCATTGTTGAAGCTATGGCTATGAGTTTGGCAAATATGACTGACCAAGATAGTATTTTACAAATAGATCATAACATGTCATGCAAGATATCTTTCATAATGTCTTTACTGGTTAGAACATTGTCATTATTGTTAGTATATTATGGCACACCAAGCATGCTTTTAGATTATCATATCCTTATTTCTTACCTTGCAGGAAAATTTAGTTCAAGAGGGACATGTAGTACTCATCTTCTCACAGACTCGTAAAATGTTGAATCTTATTCAGGTTGTTTTTCATAATCTGCTACTAATTTTTGCTTGTTGAGATTGATGCTCTGTATGATTAGGCTACTTTCCAGGTCTATTAGATTCTTGGTAAGGATGGTTTTAGTTGTTGCACTAAGGATTTAAATCTCAGTCCCTTACCTATTCCTTAATCTGTCTATGATATGATACTGGTGCATCAGACAGTATACCAACATATATCATTCGCTCGGTACCATTTTATGAAATAATAGAAAAACTGACTGAATGTATGGTATTGATATCGAGCTTTATGTTCCAATGTTGGTCAGACTAGTAAATACTGTTTCATTCCATCAGTAGGTCCAGATTTGGAAGTTTGGTTGTGATTAGCTTCAGTAGCACCTATTAAATGTCAATTTGTGGAACCTTACTATCCAGATTGAACATCGTTGTGTATGTCATATTGTTGGATGTTTAATCATCTATTTTGTAGAGTGTTGCTGCTTTTTAGCAGTTTGTTAAGATCTTCACTAGCTTCTTATTGTATGAGTCAATTTCTGGGTGGTTTTTAGCTAATGATAGATAAGGATAGCTGTTAGTACTATGTCTTATCTATTTATCAATTCGACAGACAATTAGACGCAAATTGAATGATTTTGTCTGGGATGTTTTGCACTGCCTGATATCCTAATTGTACTGGGTTTACCAGATGGTAAGCCTACCAAACGGTATAACTTTGATTTTTTTTAGAAAAATTGATTGCTATGACAACTATCTTTTTTGTCACTCTTCCTCGTCCAGACTCTCTCTCTCTCTC